TATATATATATATATATAATATATATATATATATATATATATAATTATATATATATAATTATATATATATATATATATATATATATAATTATATATATATATATATAATTATATATATATATATATATATATATATAATTATATATATATATTATATATATATATATATATATTATATATAACCTATAACCTAACCTAACCTATAAAGATAGGTTAGGTTAGGTAGGGTTGGTTAGATTCGGTCATATGTCTACGTTAATTTTAACTCCAATAAAATAAAATTGACCACATTCATAATAAAATGGGTAGCTTTATCATTTCATAAGAAAAAAATTAGAGAAAATATATTAATTCAGGAAAACTTGGCTTATTAGGCAAATCGGGCCTTGCATAGTAGGCTGAGAAGTGCGTTCTGGCTACTAGGTACGACATTATATATATATATATATATATATATATATATATATATATATATATATATATATATATATATATATATATATATATATATATATATATATATATATATATATGAGGAGGCTCATTGAGAAATTTTTATATAATGGAAAAATGTAATTTATACAGCATGTGATTTCAAGGGCAATTGAAAAGGCATCCCTAGCAGCATTTCTCGTAAGACAAAACAGGCAAAACTACCCGGGAGGGTGGGTCAGCCAACACAAGGCGTCTACTAGTAGCAACAAGAAATATCTCATTCATAAGGAAGGGGAGGGAGGAGGGGATGGGAATTACACTTGGCAATCAGAGTGACAGATATAACATGAATACATTTGTTTATTTTTTGTTTACTTAGGTGGGTACATGAGTAAATAAACTTCTGACTCCTGTTAGCAGGCTTAGAGCTTTCCCTTCACATAGCTCATCTTTACTACAGTATCCAAAAACAGATAATCTAGAATCTTCTAGAATTGTCAATGCTCATTCCTGATAGGTTAGGGAGGAGACAAGAGCTAGAACCTGACCCCCCCCACCCTCCCAGAGGTGTTAGGAGCAAATGACATTCTGCCATTTTTCCCCCGAGCACATCTGGAGCATAAGATGTTGATGTAACATTGAATCAACATTGGTTAAACATGATGCACAAATCTTGCCCTCTGGGTTGCCAAAGCATTTACTAAATTTTAAAATGTACCTGAAGATGTTCTTCTAGGAAGAGCTTATGTGGTTTTAACTTGCGACCAGGACGTGGGTTATAAATCTGGTTCATCCTCTCTCTCTCTTCCCATGATGCTTTCCGAAGTGTTCCATCAGGATCTCGCACAACAATAGGACGTTTCTGGCAATGGAGAATATGTCATGTAATACAGAAAGATCACAACCAAATAAAGAAAAATTACAAAACATTAGTAGCTATTCATCATATCTAACAATAAACATTAAATTTTGGTCAAATTGTGTATGACTGGTAGTGATACGTTCATCACACCTGAGCCAAGTCTGGAATTGTCAATGCCCGCCGGGCCGAGTCTGGAATTGTCAACGCCCGCCGGGCCGAGTCTGGAATTGTCAACGCCCGCCGGGCCGAGTCTGGAATTGTCAACGCCCGCCGGGCCGAGTCTGGAATTGTCAACGCCCGCCGGGCCGAGTCTGGAATTGTCAACGCCCGCCGGGCCGAGTCTGGAATTGTCAACGCCCGCCGGGCCGAGTCTGGAATTGTCAACGCCCGCCAGGCCGAGTCTGGAATTGTCAACGCCCGCCGGGCAGAGTCTGGAATTGTCAATGCCCACCGGGCCGAGTCTGGAATTGTCAATGCCCGCCAGGCCGAGTCTGGAATTGTCAATGCCCGCCGGGCCGAGTCTGGAATTGTCAATGCTCGCTGGGCCGAGTCTGGTATTGTCAACACCCGCCGGGCCGAGTATGGAATTGTCAACACCCGCCGGGCCGAGTATGGAATTGTCAACGCCCGCCGGGCCGAGTCTGGTACTGTATTGTCAATGCTCGCCGGGCCGAGTCTGGTATTGTCAATGCTCGCCGAGCTGAGTCTGAAATTGTCAACACTCGCTAAGCCGGTATCTGAAATTGTCAACGCTCACCGAGTCATTTCTGAAATTATCAAAGCTCACAGAGTTATGTCTGGAATTGCCAATATTCACCGAGCCGTGTCTAGAATTGTCAATGCTTGCCGAGTCACGTTTGCACGATATTTATTCAAAATGTTGTATAATATCTTCATTATAACCCAATTTTAATTAACAAATATGCAGGAAATACAAGAAACTTACTCTGTCAGATAAGCCATATGTAATATCAGTGAACACATATTTACAAGTGTCATATCCAGTCAGGCCAGGATCCTTCGACAACACATCCAAAATGGGTTGACGCTCCTTCACCACAGGAGGCATTTGGAGGATTTTCTCCGATGCCTTCTTAGATTTTTCAAAATGCTGCAAAACATTTCTATGGTTTAATGCTACAGGTTTAACAATACAGTACTGTATATTAAACAAGAAGGCCAAGAGCCAGCACTACCATACTTTGTCAAGCCACTAACGCACAACATTCCTAGGTTTTACTTTTATAGTGGCCTTAAAATATAAAAAAAATGTTGATTTCAATAGAGCAAAATTATTACAGAGGATGCACTCAATAATGAAGTGCTCTTGTACATATCTTAAAGACAACTGCTATAAACAAAAACTAGAAACAAAATTTATATATACAGTATTTATATATAGTATATAAATGAAATAGAGAGCATGAAAATGGGAAAAGTAGGGAGGGGGTGGAAGATTGTAAGAAACAGCGAGTGTGAGAGAGATTGATGGCGGTGAGTGAAGCAGATGTAGACAGGAAAGTGAGTGGATGGGACAGAAATGGAGGTGAAAGTGAGCGAGTGCATGTGTGTGTGTTCACCTAGTTGAGTTTGCGGGGGTTGAGCTTTGCTCTTTCGGCCCCCCTTTCAACTGGCAATCAACTGTTTACTGACTACTTTTTTTTTTCCTCCACACCACACACACCCCACGAAACAGCCCGTGACAGCTGACTAACTCCCAGGTACCTATTTACTGCTAGTTAACGGGGGCATTCAGGGTGAAAGAAACTTTGCCCATTTGTTTCTGCCTGGTGCGGGAATCGAACCCGCGCCACAGAATTACGAGTCCTGCGCGCTATCCATCAGGCTACCAGGTGTTTCTTGCATAGTAGTAGTAGGCATCCATCAGTCTCAAGAGGGTATGGAGTTGCGCTCTGGTTGTTGGTCTGGAGTGGGGTTCTCCAGGGCGCAAATCTAGGGTAGGTCACTATGGAGAAGCCGTTACCCGAGCAGCAGGTTTCCCCTCTTTACGGTGCCAAAAGTCTCCAATGAAAGGGCAAACACGCACACACACACACACACTATGCCAGGCTATACATATTACATATCCATGTATTATGGGGTAGGAAGGTACAAAGGGGGGGGAAGTAAACTCTCTAAAGTTAACCCTATGATACCTGATCAACCAGGCTGTGACTCATACGTCAGGCTGCGAGCAGCCGCGTCCAACAGCCTGGTTGATCAGTCCGGCAACCAGGAGGCCTGGTCGACGACCGGGCCGTGGGGACGCTAAGCCCCGGAAGCACCTCAAGGTAACCTCAAGGTAACCCTTTGAATTTCACCTTGGATGCTGAAATGACAGTAGCTTTCTTGGGGCTAAATTGTTCCATCTCAATTATTGTTGGTTTCAATATAAATAAATGAGAAACCAAGATCTCAATCAGAACCAAGAAATGCTAATTGTCATTAGGCACGAAACAATAAGGTATCCCAACCAGAGATACTGTATCTAATGAAAACTGATAAATAAATACTGCAATGAAATCACAGGAATATGTATTCTGAAATCTTAAAAGCCATAAATTGGGATATAACCTGCCTCCCTGAACAGGCGCACATACTATTTTAACACATCAGGTTCTAGTCGGTAGTGTGTGTGCACGAGCACTTCAGGAACGTGTGTTCAGTCCCACCATACAGCCTTAATATTTTCTTACCAATAGCATGTTCCAAACAAACAAACAAAAAATTGTTCGTACCTCTTCAAGTTCTTCATTTGTCAGGAATTCGTATCTTGGTGGCTTGAGTTGGGTTCCATCAAACCTTTGCCTAAAGACTTTGTTAAAGTCTAATTCATTAATTTTCTTCAAAATTTCTTGAACATTTTTATTGAAAAATACAGGTGCTGGATCACGATCTGTTGGGATAAATCATATTAGCCTCACTGCATAGAATAAAAAAATGAAATGAATGTCTTCCTTCAATTAACAGAAAATAACCAGTAGGGGCACCAGATGCGAAATTTTTTTTCTACGCCTACCTCCCTTAGGAGGTGAACCTCAAGCATAAAGAACTGCACACTGCAGATATTTCTACTCTAAGCATGAGACCAATAGAAAAAGGAAAAGCGGGAGCAAACCGCCAGGCTTCCACCACAAGGGTGAAAACCTGTCCACTCCCGAGATTAGTAAATACAACACACAGTTATCACACACGTCTGATTTTATTTTTCCACAACAGTTTTGTAGTTATCCTTGAAGAAATTTGTTAGTGTTTACAATAGAAGGGGATAAAACAAGAATGATATGCAAAATAACGAGGATAAACACAATAAGATAGAAAAGCATATGTGAAAACATGAACTTGAATGTACTGTATATAGTATTTGGAGAAATAAAAACCCAGTGTTGAATGTACTGAAACGTCAATTTCTGGAAGCCCCGGTGACTCCCTGATGCTATTTTCCTGAAATTGCTGCATACAAAATGGTCACATCAGTCACAGATAGTTATGTTGGACCAACCTTTGTACCAGAGCCAAAACCTAGCCTCCTTAAAGAGACAAAGAGAGCAAATGACAATCTGCCACTCACCAGAAAAAGCCTCCAGAAAGTCAGTGCAGCTTTACAGACAACTGGAGGGTTCACAGAAAATTAAGCCTTGAAAAACCACTTGACAACTACTGCAAATGAGTCGCACAGAACAAAGGATTCACCCAAATGACCGCAAAACTCGTTATTACTGATTACCACCACCAAGCAGTCTGGCTCCAGTTCCCAACCAGCTCATAAAGTCAGTTCTGGACTTGATGAACTGACAAATCTGGAGGAACGCAGGGAGCCACCAAAGCTCCTCCAGAAATTGGCATTTCATTACATACAATGCTGGGTTTCTGGAGAGAGCCCCTTTTGGCTCCCTGAAGCTAATCCAACCAAAGAGAACAAGAAAGTGACTTACCAGAAATGAGAAGAGTTAGCAGGCACTTAAGACAAAGAATGGACACAAGGTCAGGTGGCGTAGCCCAGAGCCACACATGACTGACTGGAACCAGGAATGTTAACCAAATACTGGACCACCAGCATCCTATTAGAATGCAAAGACCCTAGTCCGAACATGAGCCCTGGGCATATTAGAGAACATGGCTGCCAAAGCCACGTATTTACAATCATCATGAGCTCGAGGGTTGACCCCAGGTTGGCTAGACTTGATATTGCAGGCATCCTAGGAAATACAAGACTTGGAACAGGGTACCTAGGTAACTGGATCAACCATTAAGGCATCCACCGAGACAGCATGCAAGTGCTGTAGTGACAAAAAAGCCACCACAGGACAACAAATGATGCACCCCAAACCTAATCAACCAAGCATCGATCTGCAAAATATCCCTCCAGAATTCCGCCAGCTCATTCTTCACCAGAAAAGGAGACAGTTGCAAACGAACAAAACCCTCAACTTCTGAGAAGAGCCTGAAGCTCCCCAACCAGACAGCCGGACTGTGATCAGTCCATTTCCAACAAAAAACATAAAAGACTTCATCATCATCAGAAGAAGAGAAGCAGAACATACAGAGATAAGATCCCAATGAGTGTATGACTCCAGTAATCAGGCCTTTGAAACAGCAGACTTACCAGCCTAACAATGCCATTCCTGTGCCTTACCGACTCACACCACCCTAGCATATCATTAGTTATTTAATTACTGCTACAGTGTCATGATATAACCCTCCTGCCCACTAGGACACCCGAGGCTGTCAATGGGCATTCACAAACTTGAAAATTCATGGATATTGTGCCCAACACAGGGTAGTCTCAAAATAATTTATTTATTTATATACAAGAAGGTACATTGGGTTTGTGAGAATACATAGCATAGTACAGTATTTACAATCTTGTAAAGCCACTAGTATGCACAGCATTTTCGGGCAGGTCCTTAATCTAACAGATAATTTGACATAACTATCTACGGGCTCACCATAGCCCGTGTTACTTGGAACTTTTTGTTCTAAGTAGCGAATCTTTAACAACAACAACAACAACAGATAATTTTAAATACATAAATTCTATCAGTATATAACATCGGAACCAAACTGGATATAGCCGCCTTTAGGGTCAAATTCACTGCTCATAGTGGTCTCCTCACAGGAATAAAGAGAGGAAACTCCTAGAAAGAGTGTGGACACTGGAGAGAAGAGCAGCGTCCCTGGCGAGAGGTACTATGGGGGAAGACAACCGGGTTACACACTGTTACACAAGTAGTTTTATAATACACTTATTAGCCCTTACCGTTATATCTGTTAACAGTGGTGGCACAAGTCCTAGTTGAGAGGCGCACTAGACGTGTGGTGGAGGTGGGGCCCAGGAGCCGGAGCCAGGCCAACCCGACCCTCACGCCGCCTTCCATGTTGACACCCTGGGAAACCTACCTATAACAAATCACTTAATAGTTATATGCCATTAACTAACAGTGTAATAATTAAATGCCTAAAATATATCATATCAATACATTTGTAACATTTGCATTATTAAAGAGATAATGAAATGTTATGTCAGTTGCTTGTATCAATGTCTGCAGCCTGGATATACAAAGTTATTGATCAGTAAATAATTCCTTAACTTATTTGATAAGTTAAGGTAATTTATAAGCGGAAGGTAATTTATAAGCGGAAGGTAATTTAGTGTCAAATATGAGTTAGATGGGAAGTGATGGAGTAGACCCGTCTCCCCTCCACAACAACCTTTCAAAACATGGCCTCGGTAAGCTGGCGGTGTCTTGTGGTGTCTTGGGTGGCCCCATACCACCTCTTGCTCCTCTCTCCCTTACCCCCCGTGTGTGCTCGGCCGTAATGCTCGCCGCTGGCAACCCCAACAGCTTCTAAATATAGTTTCATAGATACGTCATGTTAAGATAGGTGGTATATTCAATTTGGGTCTAATGTTGACCAAACCACACACCAGTGGATGGAAAGCCGACGACGTTTCGGTCGGTTCTGGACCATTAACAGGACGGACCGAAACGTCGTCATCTTTTCATCTAGTGTGTGGTTTGGTCAACATTCTTCAGCCACGTTATTGTGACCCGTGTGACACAGGGATAAACATTTAATTCTATACTGGCCATATAGTTTAGCGTTTTTGTAAAACGCTCGCCTAGGGTTCCGCGAGCGCTTTGTCCTGGGTTCGTATCCTGGCCGGGGAGGATTTACTGGGTGCAACTCCTTAACTGTAGCCTCTGTTTAACTCTACAGAATAATGGGTACCTGGTTGTTAAACGATTTTTCGTGGGGGGTCGTATATTCCAGGAAACATAGGATTAAGGACTTGCCCGAAACGCTACTCATACTAGTGGCTGTACAAGAACGTAACAACTCTTGTATATATCAATAATAAAAAAAAAGGAATTACTAATGTAGCTAACAGTTTATGAGATGAGTGTGTGTGCAATGACTGCATCCCATTAAGGGCTAGACTGTTTCCACAATGTCTCTCATCCTGTTACTGGACAGGTCCATTGTTTAACTGATAGGGAACAAATTAAAAAAAAAAAAATTATTATCAGAAGAAAGTGCCAAGCCATTACGACTTTATAGCAATAAGAAAATTCAAAGACTACCTTGAAGGTTTTAATGATTGCAGTGTTCACCGTGCTGTAATGATTTTTTTGAAATAGCACAACTCAACGGTCTGTATCTGATATACTGTACAGTATTTACAAATGATAACTTGTGTAAGGTTTATCAGGTTTCTCTGAGAGTTGTGATTAGTAGGGATCCCAGACTAAAAAATCAAAGATTAAATATACAGAATAAGGCGCATAAGATATTGTTTCATATTTAGATGCATTAGAAGTAAGAACTGATGTTCTTCAGCTTGATCTTGCCCTTACTAGGTTCTATTTAGATTATGCATTTTATGTTGACTCAAAGACAAATTTTTATTTCAGCAGCAAGCAGCTGGTGGAGAGCGACGAGAAGGAGGAGGAGGAGGAGGAGGAGGCAGAGATGGGGAACAGAAAGACAAGAAACGAAAGGAATCTATTCTTGATTTAAGCAAGTACTTAGACAAGGCCATAAGAGTCAAGTTTTCTGGTGGGCGTGAAGCTTCTGGAATATTGAAAGGCTTTGATCAGCTATTAAATCTTGTGCTTGACAACACCATTGAATATCTCCGAGGTAAGATGAGACTGGTATGGGACTTGTTCAGTGTATGTCATGCTATGATTTTAAAACATTTATACAATGCGGTACAGAAGATTGCAAGAAGGATAGTAGCAATAATGGATGCAGCAAAGGGATTGATGGTTTCAGGAATGGGTGGTGTGAGGAGTAGGTTTGGTGGAGGGTAGAATGGATTGAGACAGGAGTAGTACACTACAGTAATTCTCCTTACGTGGGGGGGGGGGGAGTTTTAGCTTTTGGTTCCACCTTTCAACTTTGATCAACTGGTGTAATGGTTCCCAAACCTATTGGGCTCTTATATATTTAAAGAAATAATTATATATATTTATGTTTAAAACTGTGTATGGAGTTTACCTGCACTATTTCCCCTTTTAGTGCATTTTATTTGTTCACTATTTTCACAAAAAAAGTCTTATAATGTTTCTCTGGCTCATTTTGGCACAGTAATGTGCTTATTTTCCATCTGTGTTGCCCTTGTTTGTGTACCTGTGAGTCCAAATATGTATTTATCTGCCCTCTCAGTTTCTTTAAGAATTTGTTATGCGGTAATCATATCTGTCTTAACTCTTCTGTCTTTTAGTGAGGTTCAATTCTTTTAGTCTTTAATCGTAACTGATCCCTCTGGAAAAGGAGAGATGATTGGTTATCAACCCTTAACTGTTCCTCTGTACTTCCAGCAGTAATTGGGCACCTAGTTGTAAGTCAGTTGGCCGTTCCTGTTCCAGGGAAAACTGGTAGGGTAAAGCTTAAGATAAGCTGTGGGAGGGAGAGCTCTAAGGCTGCTAACAAGGATCAAGATTAATCTTCTGTACCCACCAATGTAAACAAAAAATCTATATGTATATCCTAATACAATATATAAAATCTTTATTTCAGATCCAGATGATCCATACAAACTAACGGAAGATACGAAAGAGAGAGGCTTGGTTGTGTGTCGTGGGACAGCCGTTGTGCTTATTTGTCCAATGGATGGATGTGAAGCAATTGCAAATCCCTTTGTACAACAAGAGACATAGCAATATCAGTTCAAATTATATTTCTAATAAATAAAACATTTTAAATATACCTACTTTTTATGGTATGGGAATGTTAAAAGAAATTCTCTTGTTTGATTTGTACTTCTAGCATTTACGTTTGATTTTGATTTACGTGATGTAAACTTAAGCAGGATTTTAAGGAAATGCTACTAGATACAGTATACAATTTTGTCTAAATGTGAGAAGGTAATTTTCGTATTCGTCCTGAGTTTCATATAATATTCAGATAAAATTTGAAAATATTTATGTTCATTTCAATAATTTTGGTGTAATTACTGGGCCTAATTTAAGTCACTTTTTAAACTAATGAAAAAATTCATTAACGTTAAATGACAGTGAAAATTCAGCCATACACACTACAGTTTTATTTTCATTTAAATCAAATTAAAAGACAATATTATTTTATCTGAGTTTAAAAAATGCATAGATGCACACTGTCTCTGAAATGATTCAGCAATTAATTTTGCTAAAGAAAGTAGAATCATTCATGTGTTGCTTAAATTTGTACCGTGAGACAGTATTCAGTACAGTACATAGAGAACTGAACAAACGTGATTTTGATTAAGAATCTTTACAAAAAATTAAACTAGGTTCCTTGTGATTACCTTGTAATGATTTCGAGGATCAACGTCCCTGCGGCCCGGTCTCTGACCAGGCCTCCTGGTTGGTGGTCTGGTCAACCAGGCTGTTGGATGCGAGGTAAGCCCAAATTTATGATGACTTGCACTATTAAAAATCTTCCATTGCAGTGTACTGTAAACTGTTATCATATTTTATTGATATCATCGATAAATGGCAATAGGTTAGGTAGCGAATGTTTTGGGTGTTAAATGTAATGAAGTAGCCTACATTTATTAAAAGCTTTGTTTATTTTGAACTTTGGGCTTTGTTCCATTCAAAGTCTGTTCATCTGTGCTCAAATTTTCAATTTCTTTTAAATTAAAGTAAGAAAATGGCTACCAGGAAAATGTAGAAAAGTTTAATATTTATTTTAACACTTCTATTGTGTTATCATAATTAGCATTGAATACATTACCTATATGTTTCTTTTTTATAATGAAAGTTTTCAAAATCTTTGGTGTATTACTTTCCTATTATCTTTTTTTCTATAGGTTTTCAGACAAAAAAAATTGTTACTGTTAATAGAAATATTGGTTGTTAAAGGTATTGATTGAATATAGACAGACAATTTCAAGAGGAAGAAATGTGTACATAAACAACTGTTAGTTTCATCATGTAGAAAATAATACTGTACAGTACTGTACTGTATTTTGAATTAACATTGTTTATGGTGCAGTTGTCTTTGTATTTCAAGTAGATAAACAGAAAAGTAAATAACTGGTATAAGTACTGTGGATATAGGAGGGAAGAGGTACAGAGATAGGAGGAGACATCTCTACAGCTTGCATGAGAAGAGTTATGTTTTTACATGGTAATTGAAAATGGAAATTAACTTAACATAAAATTCAGATAAAAACAGGTAAATTATGATGTAAAGTTGTTTGCAATTGTAAATAAATTACCTCATTAGTATTACCTAGTGCCCACTTTCATATTCAGGTGGGGGGTCTTCCTGCTGACGAGTCGTGTTGTCCTGTCTTGTATACCCACCCCCATTAAAAATGTCACTCGTTCTTAATTACGTAACAATTAAGTTTATATTTCTGGAAAAGTAGGAGTGCCTGAAAAAGAGTTGAGTTTACTGGATGGATGATTCCTTTCAGACAAAATTATATCATTCGTTTGTGAATTATTTCCTCAAGTGTGGGTGTGGACACGAGGCCGGGCAGGTGGACACGAGGCCAGGCAGGTGGACACGAGGCCAGGCAGGTGGACACGAGGCCAGGCAGGTGGACACGAGGCCAGGCAGGTGGACATGAGGCCAGGCAGGTGGACACGAGGCCAGGCAGGTGGACACGAGGCCAGGCAGGTGGACACGAGGCCAGGCAGGTGGACACGAGGCCAGGCAGGTGGACATGAGGCCAGGCAGAAGACTACAATGAGTGAGAGGACAAACACCCAAGATACAGCTACAACATTTCCTTCTATTCACAATTAAGCTTACCAAGTTCATCATTTTGTAGGTTACATATTTAACATCTGTATACGCTTAGACATTTACTGTACCGTTAAATAACATGACTTTCGACGAGGTATCAAGATGATGATAGCATTTGTTCTGACCTTCAGGTCACTAATTGCATCACAAAAATTGACAAGATACCTTAGAGGATATAATATGCCCCAGATGCTTTTCAGAATACTTGACTGGAATCTCTCTTCAACCCCACAACAAGCAGACTAACTCCTGAGTACCTACTTACTGCTAGGTGAACAGTACATTAGGTGAAAGGAAATGTGCTCGACCATTTCTGTCTCGTCCGGGATTCGAACCCGGAATTCTTGATTGTGTGTCGAGAACGAACCCGACTGTACAACTAGGACCCTCAAAAGTGAATTATATATACACTTATATGTAAGTGTGTTAAAACCAAATTTTCGGTAACCTACATCCTTTCTTAAGATGCTGTGAAGACTGTACTGTGCAGTGTTCACAGTACAGTATTTTCCTTAATCTTCATTATTCATTATAGTCCTAGACCCAAAGGTTCCATGGTCTACTGCAGCAAGAGCAGTAATTTATACTAGAAGCATAACCACACACACTCGTTAACTGACATATTTATATTCATTTATCTAATAATGCCAAAAGTTGAAGTATATCCTAACACAATAGCCATCTCAACACTGTAAACAGTAAGCTACATACACATGTATTACAATTATACAAACAAGCAACATACACAAATCCCGTAGTATCAGAGCCGACAGCTGAAAAGTCTTGAATAACCAGAAATTCTTGATAAATGTTAGGCCTGAAGGACTTGATTGTGATGAGTATCCCAACCTGTCCTCAGGCCTGAAGGACTTGATGGTGATGAGTATCCCAACCTGTCCTCAGGCCTGAAGGACTTGATGGTGATGAGTATCCCAACCTGTCCTCAGGCCTGAAGGACTTGATGGTGATGAGTATCCCAACCTGTCCACACGTGAGGACAGGTTGGGATACACAACTAGGCTTCGAGTGGGTTCAGTCAAAATTCGAAAGAATTTCTGAACCCTTATTTACTTCCACGGGTAAGACGTTACCTATGGTTTGTGAAGGATGAATGTGACGGAAACGTCTAAACTGTAAAGTGTTACTAGAAAATCTTCACAATCCACTATACTGCAGGTTGTGCTCAGTCACAGGGCGTTAGTTATAGCAGTTGGATGTTGTCTGGTAATCAGTGTAGTCACCGAAAGCTGTATCTTATTTTTCAGTTTATATCCAATAAACTGAGTTTCCTTTAGTACTGGATTATATTCAGAACCAAAGTGTACTTGTTGGATGATCAGTAAGCTTTTGAGGTGGGGGTTGAAAACTGTTCCGCGGTTGATAGGCCTTTATAAACCCAATGTCAAACCAACGTAAATAAATTAGAAAACAAAAATGGCGACTACTAGTTGGTGTGTTCGTGACGGGTCTGGGTGCTTGAATTGTTGGTCCCTTCTCTAACAAGGCCATACACGTGCACCATGGTTATTTGGGAGGAGTAAGTGTGATCCAGGAGAGGTCACACCGCTTCTTTTCTACGTGGATCAAGCTGTATAGGCAGTGTTGGGCCAGCTGTCATGCTTGCACCAGTCTGACAGTTCTGGAAGAGATACCTCACCCCCCTATCATTCTTCAAGATAAGGTAAGAATCAAAGGGTTTTGCCAGATCACTGTAATTTAGTGTTCGTGTAATTTAAGTGTGACGAGAAATGTAAACAACAAATCAACTTAAAGGTTCAAACACTCAACAAATCATTTCAGGGCAGAATATCTACTTCGCCAAAGTACATTGTTTTTGTACATATAAGTAGTCCTGTGTAGACAGAATTCACCTCGCTCAGTAAATTATGAAATTGTTATTTTTGTCTAAGCGCCCCCAGGAATATAATTATCGACTTTGGTTACAATTTTCATCACTTCTGCAAATTCAATGAAGCTAACGTTTGCACGCGAAGCCTCATCGTGTTCTATACAGGGAAAAAAACTGCCAGTGGATGGCCAACATATTTTGCAAAGACATTTACAAAACCTGCTTCTTTACCAATCATGCTGGTTGTTCACCATCACACAAGCGTTTTGAAAAATCAACGTATCGATTAGATGTTTATTGCCATTACATACTTCAGCCCTTTGGGAGCGCTCAGTTAACGTTACCAAGTTAACTATTCTTCGCATATGTCACCACCCCTACAATAGCGAGCAATACTGGTTAGCCTAGCCGTTGGTGTAACATCAGTGCTTCCAAGACAAATGGAAAGGAATTTATTTGAACCTTTGTTACCTCTTCTGGCGTCTATTACCATCTTTAAAATATATTTTATTGTGTTTCTACTCGCCTGCAAATGCTTAATTCGGGGGAATATTTTTACCTTATCTGGAAAAAATCAACAAGGAAATGATCACTTCGTAGCTATGATTCTTTAAAATACTCCACATCACTGAGTGATTTTCCATACTGAGCAATAATCTTCGAAGTCTCAAAACCAGCAGCAGATTCATTTGACAGCAAAAATAATCAATATATTTGTTTTGGGTGAAGATTAAAGAATCAAGAGGCGGCACTGTATGCAGCATATTAATAAAATAATTGTACATCGAAGAGTATTTATATGGTTGGTAACGCCTTCTTGCTGCTTCTGTTTCAGCTTCGTTGCTTCCTTTGTATTTAAGTATGTTGTATGTGTGACTTAATATCTGAGTATCTGGTCAGAGATTAGTAGAGTTGATGTAGTTAGGGGGGCGGGGGGGCTTTTAACATGTTGAACTCAATGACTTGTCAGTGTTCGGGCCTGCCCGAAACGCATTGCGTAATAGTGGCTTTAGGCATTGTATGTACTAGCTCTATCTATATATTGATCCATTAATGTAACATCACTTGTATGTATGTACCTTACCTGAATAAACATATTTATTTATTTATATTTAAAGGCATCAATAACTCAGTAGGAATATTTGTAGTTGAACGCCTCGTCAACTCAGTAGTAAAGGTATCAACAATTAAGGAACATATTAGGCAGAAGACAGGAAACATGAAACAACAGACAGCCAGAGACAGGGGAACATAAGAAATAGCAGAGAGCCAGTCAGGAAACATAAGACAACGACGTTCAATAAACCGATCTTCTATTTTCGTGATGAAATTCTTAAGTGACAGTATGGGTAATTGAAGTCTTCATATTAGTGAGTTGTTTAATTTATTGTTCGTACTCTTTAACCGAGTCCATTACTCTCTCAGTACACCTTAATTAATAGGACAACAGGTCTTAAGATTGGATAATACGTCTTTAGGTCGGATTTTACGTCGATGATCGAACATTACGTCTTACAGTCGAACTCTTCGTCATGTGATCAGACACTACGTCCGATGTCCATACAAACGTGTATGTGAAATACATATTTAAGACGTAACATGTGGGGTAAATAATATGAACCAGTTTAAAAAATATTTCCAATAATTTAATATTCGAAGAATTTGATAACATTCACTGTATGGTAACTTCTAGGTTCTCTGCAATCACCAAGTTGTTGCAATAAGGCAAGATAACATATAATAACATATCACAGCCATCCACTAGTCAACTAGATCTGACATCTCAGATTTCACTGTAAATGTACATAATCCAGTTAATTCCATCTCAACAACTGTAAATAAGTCTTAGGCTTTGGAAAAGCTTTGTAAACATCGTCCACTGAAGGTGGACTCGACCATATGACCTACAGTTCTCATCAATATTGCTGTTAAATCAATCTTATGGCACAGAATAATTGACCATTTCCATGTCTATCAAAACATCTTGGAAGTGCATAGTGCCGGGGGTGTGACAGTAGATCATTAGGTATACAATCTCGTACTATTGTGTGCACAACTAGTGTGTACATATATATGTTAAATAATATATTAAATAAACACACGTGACTGTTGATAATTTTACAGAGCAAGACAAACGTAACTCATTTCAAATCATAACTTGTTATTCTCTAATCGGAGGTAATTGTAACCTGCATAAAAATACTGTGTAAGATTCTTTCACAGTAGCCAGGAGGGTGAGGACAGAGCCTCGCAACATAACTCACACAGTAAATATCTTCTGAGCATAATCAACGTCTGAGTTTCGACAAGCATCATTTGGTTAAATCATCACCAGCCTCTGGATAGGCCTTTCGTGGATCCTTTCAAAACAGCACCATTCGTCAGCAGAATCGTTGTACCACTTCACGAAAGGCTGAAGGAGATGTCACCAGGACAATGTATTGTTCTGCAACGCGTGGCAAGCTTGGAGCACCAGACAGAGCGCGGTCATCGACCAGCTATCTGCAGTCTTCACGTCCAAGTAAAAGGGGCTGACACATCTGCGAGAAGAATGCCAAGTCTCCAGGTATCCAGCTAGAGTCTTCCAGTTTCCAGGAAGTATCAGGGGACATAATACTGTTTCAGGATTCAACGGCAATCTGTTTCCTCTTCAGGACAAGGCCCCTCTACTAGCGCCATCGAGGTCTTCAAGGCTCTCTAGGAGCTGCTGGTAGTCCCAGGGGTTCATGGTGCTCCCCGCGACTCCCAGACCACACCCTAGATCATGCGGATTATGGACACGCTCCTTCTTCGTCTTGCCGTTGCGATTTCTCTGGACGGGGATCTCTGCTGGGTAAACCTGGGAAGGTTGCGAGGAGTAGAAGTTTGGCGAAGAGCAGGGCGAGGACCCATTTGTGGGCGAGGATGGGCAGCTGGAAGACTGGAGAGGCGACGGATGCGACAGTCTTCGGCTACTCTGTAAGAAAGAGCATGATCATTAATGATATTAGTCTGTGAGTAAATAACGTCATATAATCGACTCCTATAATTGAATATTCTTTGTGAAAAATGCAAATGTGAGATTGCTGTGTTGTTACTTACCAATTGCGAGTCCTGAGGAGAATCGCAGACGAGATCTGAGCCGGGAATGCCCGGGTGGGTATGAGGGCGGCGCGCGGGCGTGCGGCGGGCGGCGATGTACGCCTCTGCCACCTGGCGGTAGGTGCCGGGGTCCATCACCACTCGGGTCCCTCGCAAAGTCTGCATAGAAAGAAAGCACAAAGACATTATTATTCTGCGTCACACCGATACGTGTGTTACATGGTCTTAGTACAAGAAAGGCAACTACGATAGCCCATACGGCACATTTCTATGACATTATTGTCTTAATTAACCTAAATATTAATCATAACAAATCCCGTGTAACGATATAGCTCGTTACACAAGCTTCTGACGTCATAAGCATATGCAACGCAAAAAAGCACAAAAAACATGTAGGTTTGGAGTGATAACGAGATGCCACCCCGGCTGACGGCTGCCCAGCTGTGCGTCACCCCCCTCCCCCTCTTCCCTCTCCCCAAACACATGTACAGCCAAATGTATGTATGTATGTAAAGTATGTATACCAGAATCACGATATCAATTGCAACTAAAAGCGTTTCCAAAAATAAAGACTAGGTGATTTATAGCATGGTGCGGAGGGAGGGTGTGTATAGAAAGAGGGAGGGAAGAGGTGTGTAGAGAGAGAGAGAGAGGGAGGGAGTTTGTGTAGAGGGAGAGAGGGTATATAGAGATAGAGAGGGAAGGTGTGTAAAGAGATAGAGGGAGGGAGGGAGGCGAGGTGGGCGCAACATTAAGGTAGTGGCCGCCAACCACTGGGAAGTGAGCAGAGCTCTGGCCTTGCCTACACTCACACACACACACCCCCGGGAAAATTCCCCTATCCCCACGATAGCCACTGGCGCACATTTACTGTATCTAGTTTAAGTTTTTTTATTGTCGTCCTCATTTGTTGTGTGTACGTGCGCTTATCTCGGCGTGGTGAAGAGGAAATGGTGTTGTACACACGAAACAACAACAACAACAGCAAATATCCTTCTGTAAGAGATACTGTAATAAGTCTTGAATGCGTTTTTTTTTGTTTCTTTACGTGGAAGAGCGCGCATTTACGGAGTAATAAGTGATTTTATGCGTGGGTGAATGAGCTTATTAAGAGCTGAGGCAACAAGTGTCCATTTTTTTTTTCGGGGAATACTGTATTTAACGAGTCTCGGTGTGAACTGGTAGCCTATTGGTGTGCTACCGGTGATTTCCCGGCGCCTGGCGTCTCCATGGTGCGGCCCATGAGGGAAAGTAGCTTGGTCAACTCTACAGGGATCGTACAGACTCTACATCCCATCCCACTGTACATTCTAGATCCCATCCCACTGTACAGTCTAGATCCCATCCCACTGTACACTCTAGATCCCATCCCACTGTACACTCTAGATCCCATCCCACTGTACATTCTAGATCCCATCCCACTGTACACTCTTAGATCCCATCCTACTGTACACTCTAGATCCCATCCCACTGTACATTCTAGATCCCATCCCACTGTACAGATTCTAGATCCCATCCCACTGTACACTCTTAGATCCCATCCTACTGTACACTCTAGATCCCATCCCACTGTACATTCTAGATCCCATCCCACTGTACAGATTCTAGATCCCATCCCGCTGTACACTCTTAGATCCCATCCTACTGTACACTCTAGATCCCATCCCACTGTACATTCTAGATCCCATCCCACTGTACACTCTAGATCCCATCCTACTGTACACTCTAGATCCCATCCCACTGTACATTCTAGATCCCATCCCGCTGTACACTCTTAGATCCCATCCCACTGTACACTCTAGATCCCATCCCACTGTACACTCTAGATCCCATCCCACTGTACATTCTAGATCCCATCCCACTGTACATTCTAGATCCCATCCCACTGTACATTCTAGATCCCATCCCACTGTACAGACTCTAGATCCCATCCCACTGTACATTCTAGATCCCATCCCACTGTACACTCTAGATCCCATCCCACTGTACATTCTAGATCCCATCCCACTGTACACTCTAGATCCCATCCCACTGTACACTCTAGATCCCATCCCACTGTACATTCTAGATCCCATCCCACTGTACACTCTAGATCCCATCCCACTGTACATTCTAGATCCCATCCCACTGTACAGACTCTTAGATCCCATCCCACTGTACAGACTCTTAAATCCCATCCCACTGTACAGATTCTAGATCCCATCCCACTGTACACTCTAGATCCCATCCCACTGTACAGACTCTTAGATCCCATCCCACTGTACAGACTCTTAGATCCCATCCCACTGTACAGACTCTTAGATCCCATCCCACTGTACAGACTCTTAGATCCCATCCCACTGTACAGACTCTTAGATCCCATCCCACTGTACAGACTTAGATCCCATCCCACTGTACAGATCTGACGGATTCAGTCCTTTGAACCGTTTCCTACTCTTAAAATTTTTATTGTATAAAATAAAACTTATACTTCACTGAATTCAAATTGAATAACTGAAAATTAAAGTTTCATGTTGTTAATTCTCTCTATAGCGAAGGACTGTCAAGAAGAAACTATAGCAATCTTACGTTAAATAGTTTTGAATATGAAAGTGACCAAATGTAAATTTGTAAATTTACGAAAAGAAACTGGTACTAGATCTCAGCATATTAATGTGGGCATTAGAAAGTCTGAACGTGACATCTATGACAATGGTTTGGAAGACCAATGCCCAGGGAACATAAATATTGATACCAATCAAATTATCGACGAAATCAACTTGCGCTAGTGAGACCTCATTTGGATTTGTGCTCTGCACTTTGATCACCGTACCACAGAATGGATACAAATGATCTTTAAGACACAGGGAATACACAGCAAGTCAGCCACCAGGATACACCTCAGTATACACATGGGTGGAATGCGTAAACAATGAATAAATAAGGGGTTGAAACCCATATATCATGATCACTCTCGTAACTACAAATGTCGGTTTAATAGATACATTAAACATTCATTGCATTCTGCCCGAAACGCTTTGCGTAATAGTGGCTTTAGGCATTGTATGTACTAGCTCTTTCTATAAAGCCAACAAACTTTGTAATAATCTCTTTATGTATGTACCTTTACCTAAATAAAAATTATTATTATTATTATTATAGATACATCTTTCACATCCTGCAGCATTATTTGTTTGAATGTGAAAACAAAGTATCCATGGATTAATTAAATTACATATGTATAAGAGGCTTCGCCCACAATGCTGAATTACTTAAAAAAACGCTATGTCTAGCTTTGGTCGTTATATAATCACCGGAGTCTATTTCAAATGGTTTCATAAAAAGAACATTGAAATCTATTTCCTGAACTCATTTTGTGCCTTTGTATCTATCTATTTTGTGCACTCTATCATTCACTGTATGGGAAGGAGAAGCCCATATTGTGGCGTTGTAATTCTCTCCCTACTGTATTGGAACGAGGTATAAAATGAGCCTAATAAAATCTAAGTTATGTACAGTAGATACTCGTATGACAATAAGGCCCTACAAGAGCCTAATTCTGAAAAAAATATACAAGATATTCAGATACGAGTGAGAGCGGTTGGGCTTAACTAGGCCCCAGCCTGGCATGGGTCAGTAGTTTCCAAAATTCTTTCTTATGTTCATTGCCGATTCGTGAACAGAAAATTTAATAAACCTTTCGGTTGATTATTGCCGATACTAGCTAATTTAATAGTGGGGTACAGAGGGTGGAAATTATGCACCGGGACTGGAAGAGGTGTGCAGTGAGTGATAGTGAGTGCAGTGAGTGGTAGTGAGTGGTAGTGAGTGCAGTGAGTAGTAGTGAGTGGTAGTGAGTGATAGTGAGTGCAGTGAGTAGTAGTGAGTGGTAGTGAGTGATAGTGAGTGCAGTGAGTGGTAGTGAGTGGTAGTGAGTGCAGTGAGTAGTAGTGAGTGGTAGTGAGTGGTAGTGAGTGCAGTGAGTGGTAATGAGTGATAGTGAGTGCAGTGAGTGGCAATGAGTGATAGTGAGTGCAGTGAGTGTAGTGAGTGGTAGTGAGTGATAGTGAGTGCAGTGAGTGGTAGTGAGTGATAGTGAGTGCAGTGAGTAGTAGTGAGTGGTAGTGAGTGATAGTGAGGTACAGGTGGTGGTAGATTGGATGATAGTGAGGTACAGGTGGTGGTAGATTGGATGATAGTGAGGTACAAGGGGTGATGGTGAGGAACTCCCCGCAGTCCAGTGTGGGTGTTGCATCTCAATACTATCACCAAAGTATTGAGTTAAATGTATTAATTACCTCTCAAATATAAATCATATATTCCCCAGTGTGTACTACAATACAAACCCACGCGTCCTAGCATAACGCAGAAAATTTAAGAATATAAAATATTCAATTCTTGGTTCTTAATCCTTCTTTAATGTTGCGCTTAAGTACACCGTAAAGATGAATACGAGAGAGATGGCAATAAACTCGCACCTAAATCTACGACGCTTTAAGATTTCGTCAAAGACAAGGAAAAAACCCCAAGGACTGCCACACACCCCTGGTTGTAGTCGGGAATTTACCTGCGGGAGCAAAATAGGGCTGGTCACCGTCTCCTAATATGGGCTACACGGTCGAAAATCCCGCACTATACTCTGAGATACTGAGCCCTAACGCGACTTTACTTTCTTCTGCTTCCTCTTCTGGATTGCCAACCATGTTGTCGTTCATTCTATATGTTTGTGTGACTTGAATTCCTGAGAACAAGCACAGGGCCCGGACGGGTGTGAATACTGTTGAGGGTTTAGTATCGTACTACTTGATATGAATTATTTACGCTTAAAACCCCTTTCAAATGCGACTTCGTGCGTGATACCAAGTAGAATATATATATATATTTTTTTTAACCTGGTTAACGCAACTGCGGAAGTCATGAAAACACCCTACAGCCTAATACAGAATATTACTGAGAGTCATTATTGATAAAATGCTGTAATGTAGCTTACTGTAGTAACTTGCCAGACAAATCACTAATTACTTGAACGCAATATATTGTATAGAGTAAAGGGCTATAGTGGAGTGTGTTAAGGATGTTTGTTGAGGGTATGTTTGGTGGGAGACACACAGCCCACACATACACCCCTGACATTTGTTGCAGTACTGACACAAGGACTTCCCTGCCCTCCTGTCTTGGCCCCACCACTGTCTTTTGTCTGGATAAATCCCATTGTATTTCGTCTGGCTCCACCACCTCAACTTAACCTAAATGGCTTCACCGCACTCATGTCTGGCTCCACCACCTCAACTTAACCTTAATGGCCCTCACCGCACTCCTGTCTGGCTCCACCACCTCAACTTAACCTTAATGGCCCTCACCGCACTCCTGTCTGGCTCCACCACCTCAACTTAACCTTAATGGCCCTCACCGCACTCCCGTCTGGCTCCACCACCTCAACTTAACCTAAATGGCTTCACCGCACTCCCGTCTGGCTCCACCACCTCAACTTAACCTTAATGGCTCTCACCGCACTCCTGTCTGGCTCCACCACCTCAACTTAACCTTAATGGCCCTCACCGCACTCCCGTCTGGCTCCACTACCTTGTCTTCCATCTGGTACTACCTCAACCTAAAGTGGCATCTAAACTAGTCCATCTGGTACTACCTCAACCTAAAGTGGCATCTAAACTAGTCCATCTGGTACTACCTCAACCTAAAGTGGCATCTAAACTAGTTTAGGGAAGAACTTTTTTTCCTGCAAAATTGCATCGCAATATAACGGCACGAATTATGACACAAATTGATATCACTTCATCAAAGTTATGTTGCACTAGTTAACTGTTCTGACTTGCAATTGGAAGTATTTAACTTTCTGAATGTTTTCATTTTGGAAAATGATGTATCGTAATTGTTTGCCATAAACACCACAGTTTGTTTGTTGGGACGCACTATATTGTTCTCACTTCACACGGGCCTATATCCTGATAGGCATCCTACTGTTCGAATGCACTAAACTTCATTCACAATTAACAGTAAATATATATATATATCCAGCACAAAAAGAGGTGCTATTGCTCAGCACTCGGCTCACCTGAACACTATCTTCGAGTCGTTTGATGTAGCTTCCATCTCGCTGTAGCCTCGCCTCAGCCTCCATTCTCCTTCTCTTCTCTCTCTCCAGACACACGTTAAGTTCATTGTTCTGCAGCTGCAGAGCGAGGACTCTGTCCACTATCTCCGTAGCTCCGTCGCCGCTGTACAGTCGTTCGTCACAGCTATCGTTACCGTTTATGTGACCGCTCCAGGTTTTCTTTAGTTTGCCATTTTCTCTGATGTATCTTCTGTTTTCTTCCATAAGTTTGTTGATGTGGGATGCCTGCTCTTCCATCTGAAACGAGAAATAATCGTTTGTTAAGACCACACACATCACTGTCTCGTGGGACAACAATATTAACACCAGTTGCAAGAAACATGGCACACACAAAATATTTTAAAAGTTAAAATTTCAGTCCCTAATTTAACTAAAAATGAAAATCACACTCGCAGCAAATTAGCGTGGCACACTTACTGGGTAGAACATTGTAGTATATTTTGTGGTAATAGTCAACACACTGTTTTAAAAATCCTTGACGAACGAGAAATACCACTTGACTTGATATATTCACTAAAATCCTCTCGTTGATAAATCCAAAGGGTTCACTTTCCGCAGCCACTAGCTCAAGGCTGGACGGCTGGCGCTACACTGAACGGGGTCTGGCCAGCCGCTCTCTATATATACCCCGGGCTCCCCCACACGCTCTTGAACCTGCCTCGCATTACACTTAATAATAGTCCAATATTCCAGTACAAAAATTTGATCTTAATTTACAAATGAGTATAAAATATTCCTTAGCTTTGCTTACCAAGGCGTCCCGCCCCCGCTACTCCTTGAGATAGACCTACATAGCTGAAGAAAACTTTTCACGAGTCTGGAGGAGGATGCGAGACCAAGACTTAGGTAGTTTTTATCTTCTCACCTCCGGACATCGTTACGTGATGTGTTTATCGTTGTTTATTTTAGTTAATGATTATAGTCTTATCTGGTGGATCCTGTGCATTAGTTGACCTCTCTCTTGCCTCACTTTCAATGTGATTTAGGGATATAATTATGATTTTAGATGATCATTTCATGTGGTAATATTAGGTGACTTCACTGGCATTCCCAGGAAACTGGGGATCTGGGGAAGCAGAGGCCGGGATTAGCGCACTTTCCCCGGGGTTGTCCACGCCGACTACCTGTCTCCCGTCTCAGGGACCCCCTCCCACCGCTGCTGACTACCTGTCTCCCGTCTCAGGGACCCCTCCCACCGCTGCTGTCTACCTGTCTCCCGTCTCAGGGACCCCTTCCCACAGCTGGTGACTACCTGTCTCCCGTCTCAGGGACCCCTCCCGTCTGAGGGACCCCTCTCACAGCTGCTGACTACCTGTCTCCCGTCTCAGGGACCCCTCCCACCGCTGGTGTCTACCTGTCTCCCGTCTCAGCGACCCCTCCCACAGCTGCTGTCTACCCCTCTCACCGCTGCTGTCTACCTGTCTCCCGTCTCAGCGACCCCTCCCACAGCTGCTGTCTACCTGTCTCCCGTCTCAGCGACCCCTTCCCACCGCTGGTGTCTGTCTCCCGTCTCAGGTACCCCTGCTGGTGTCTACCCTCCCGTCTCAGCGACCCCTTCCCACCGCTGGTGTCTACCTGTCTCCCGTCTCAGGGACCCCTTCCCACCGCTGGTGTCTACCTGTCTCCCGTCTCAGGGACCCCTCCCACCGCTGCTGTCTACCTGTCTCCCGTCTCAGGGACCCCCCGTCCAGCGACCGCTGCTGTCTACCTGTCCCCCGTCTCAGGGACCCCTCCCACAGCTGCTGTCTACCTGTCCCCCGTCTCAGGGACCCCTCCCACAGCTGCTGTCTACCTGTCTCCCGTCTCAGCGACCCCTCCCACCGCTGGTGTCTACCTGTCTCCCGTCTCAGGGACCCCCTCCCACCGCTGCTGTCTACCTGTCTCCCGTCTCAGGGACCCCTCCCACCGCTGGTGTCTACCTGTCTCCCGTCTCAGGGACCCCTTCCCACCGCTGGTGTCTACCTGTCTCCCGTCTCAGGGACCCCTCCCACCGCTGGTGACTACCTGTCTCCCGTCTCGGCGACCCCTCCCACCGCTGGTGACTACCTGTCTCCCGTCTCAGCGACCCCTCCCACCGCTGCTGACTACCTGTCTCCCGTCTCAGGGACCCCTCCCACCGCTGCTGACTACCTGTCTCCCGTCTCAGCGACCCCTCCCACCGCTGCTGACTACCTGTCTCCCGTCTCAGCGACCCCTCCCACAGCTGCTGACTACCTGTCTCCCGTCTCAGCGACCCCTCCATCACTGTCCCTGCAGAAGACGCTGCTGCATGACGTCTCGGTCAGGTTCTGTGACCTTCACTACTCTTGGGCCGCACGTGTAGGTTTCTCACGTGGGTCTAGTATTCATCACCACCACGGACAGCGTAAAGACACTCCCTGGGCATAGATTTCAGATAATGTATGGTTCGAAAGGATGGTTTGTGTATAGGGGAGGAGGCGACATGTCCGCGGACAGCTGCACCCGGGGTCACTTGGCTTACAGTAGGAAGCAGTGTACCCGGAAAGGGTAGAGTAGGTAAATATGTCAAGGTGAATTTCTTGTTGTTAGTACAATGAAAGAGAAAAATGAAGGTTTGGAAAGCCTCTGAATGCGGAAAGGCGTAAATGTGAAGCTCAGAAATAGTAAAAGTGAGATTAAAAAAGCAAAACTGGGAGGACATCTGACGGTAAATAATGCAAGTGAAGGACTGCCAATTAAGGGCGAGGGTTCCGCGGACTCGTATAATATTTGTAAGTACTGAGAGAAACAGGAGCAAGTATAGCATCAACAGGAGCAAATATAGCATCAACAGGAGCAAGTATAGCATCAACAGGAGCAAATATAGCATCAACAGGAGCAAGTACAACATCAACAGGAGCAAGTACAACATCAACTGGAGCAAGTACAGCATCAACAGGAGCAAGTACAACATCAACACGAACAAGTACAGCATCAACAGGAGCAAGTACAGCATCAACATGAGCAAATACAGCATCAACAGGAGCAAATATAACATCAACAGGAGCAAGTATAGCATCAACAAGACCAGTAGATAGATCCCCCGCCAAAACTATAGTCTCCTCGCCAGCCGAAGGTCGTACATAGAATAGTCAATAAAGCAGACGGTAAACCCACCCAGCGACCAGGAGGAGGTGACAGGCCGCCGGGCAGGTCGCATCTACCTCCACATTGTCCCCAATACTTCGTCTGTTAATAGCCTCTCTCTCCCTGATTCCCACGCATGTCACGTATTGTGTACCGGATTCCTCCTGTAGGCTTCTGATCGATATTGTTGCTCGTGAGTTTGTTGTTGTCCTTCTTGCTGCGCTGGGAACTCGTCGTGCCTTGATACCCGGCGAGAGAGATCGAACTTTGTTATTGTTTATGTTATTGGCGCTCACAGTACTGGCGAATACTGACATTGAGTTCCAGGTACCTTACAGGTGAGTACTCGTGGACACATCAGATGACCTGAGTACTCACATAACATCCCCATAATGCAGCATTATCTTAACATTAATGCTTGTCTCCCATTATCTCTTATGTCAACAATGAGTAGAAAGAACTCATGATTTGTGTGATGTAGAACTAGCGCCTAATATATTACTTGATTCAAATATACAACTAGTTCCATATATATATATACAAACAGCTCCAGATATACAACTGTATAGCTGGCTCTAAACATACAACTGGCTCCATACAACCGGCCCCAAATATACAACTGGCTCAAAATTAATTCATGCCCTTGACACAATGGATTCGATAACTAGTTTTATCAACAAAAATGCAATTAGGTTTTTTGTTGCATAAATTTATAGAACATAATTAAATACACAATGATGAGCATTGTGCGGAAGAAAAAAAATGTCTAATTAATCACCAAAATCTATACTAACGCAATCCATTGTACCTCATTGTATAAGTATACATAAATAAAATGAAAAACAATAATACTGCCGAACTTTGTGGTCATCTGCAAGCTTGTCAAAGCTTCTGGAAGATTTTAAAAGCTTTTGTATATCATTTTGATGGACACGTGACATAAAAGGAGGCTATGTTCACAGATACTGTCCAATCATTATCTCTAATCAGCATGGCAGAGAGTCTGAGAATTATCATCAGTTCTAAGGCAAAAGGTTCTCGGCCTTCGCAAGTCGGGGATGATGCAAAAAAAGTTAGCAAGAAGTAGAACATCCCAGTTTTGACTAGCAGGAGTCAGGAGGACAATCAGAGTTAGTGGGAATGACCCAGTTTTATCTAGCGGGCGTCAGGAGAAGTCAGAGCTAGTTGGTCGGTTGCTACTCTGCCACGAGAGGGGTGTGTAATGTGTAACTTATATGTGATGTCAGATAAATGATTTCTGGTAGATGGTCCGGCAAACCCGAGGGCGATCACTGACGAGCTTCAAAATGCTCTGGTAGCATTAGGGTTCAAAACTATCAGACGTTATTATTGGCTTCATGATGACTAACTTCCATGGTAGATTTTCACGGAGGTTCTTTTAAAAGTATTAACATGAAGAGTTACCAAGAGAATTACCCAAACAGCATCTCGTTGATGACTATAATCATATTCTGTGGTCAGATTACACACACAAATTGACCTTCAAGGTCGTGTACACAAGCGATATATTTGCGGCAGAAGAGCAGCAGTCCTATACAGAGATGAATGTTATCCTTTCGTTGAGGTATTGTTAATGTGTTTGCTCTGTGAGTGCCCCCCTAGTCCTGGTGTCATTTTTAGAGCTGATGGACGGCTGAATTTCAAAGTACGTAGAGATATTTTGCAGTAAAAACCAGGTTCCTCTGCTAAACTCAGACATGAGAACAATTTGACTTGCTTTATTGATAGCTCTTCGGAAGAAACCTTCATAGATCTACTCTCCATTAGGGGCCACTACCACATTGTTTTGTCCGCTCTTTGTTAATGTTTGCTTTTGTAATACCGCGAGAGCCTATTTTGTTAGGCTACTTTTTAAAATCAATATTTGAATGAAATCAGACAACCCGAAACCTTTTTTTTTCATATATATAATGTTTATGCTGCCGACGACAGCGCCAAAATTTGTGGAAATATCAGGGGAAAGCGCCAAATTTGTGGAAATACTGGAGAATTGCCATATATATATATATTTCATGTTCCAAAGGCTGAAATCAAAGAACTATACATAAGGAAACACATTGAAGAGTAAGGCGTGTTAAGGAACCATACATAATCATCATTCTTGGTTGTCCTTCTCACTCTCCATATTA